ACTTCTGCTTGAACAATAAGCAGTCACTTTTACCGTGCGACACGCACGCTGCACTGCAATCGCTCCGCTCTGACACACTGTCACTTCTTAAATCCCGCCGGGCAGATGCTTGTGCGACACAACACTGAAACGCATTCCTACCGTGCCTAATAAAACCAAGCAACACCCGACAAAACACTTCCGCTTAATCACACTATAGCCCTACTCGGCCCTACTCCCCTTCCTAAGCTGGGTGACGTCGTTGAGGCTTATTGTAGCGTAAGCTGCTGCTGCTGTTGGTCTGGCCGGCGCGGACGCACTCACCTTTGTTTGTGTGTGCGTGCGGTGGTGTGGTTGCTGTCGGTGTGGCGTGGCTGCTGCTGCTGCTGCCGCTGACGCTGCTGCTGCTGTTGCTTCTAGTGCTCCGTGTGGCGCCAACCTGCTGTCAACAGAGGACTCCGGGCGGCTCCTGCCCCGCCTTTTATAAGCTTGTCGCTCGGGTGGGCCGGGCCGGCCCCCTCCACCACCGCCGCGGAGGGGAGGGGGGCGGCCGCGGGCCACCGCGGGCCCCCACCACCACCCCCGCCCCAGAGCATGTGCATCGTCCCCCTTCCCCCGCCCCGCCTGCACCGCTCGCGCGCGCCGCCACAGAGGAAGATTCGTTGTGCGTTGACCGCCCGCGTCACTCTCTCACCCACACACACACTATTACTTGTAGGGAAAGGCTAGAAACCCCTTTCAACAAACACATTACCTAAAGCTACATTTGCTCTTTTATCGCAACGCTGACACACCGGGTTGCGGCCGGCGGTCTGTTGGAGCGAGTATCGCGTTTTAAAACCAAAATGGAATATCTCCACCTACCCCTGTGTGCAATCCTCTCTTTCTCTCTCTCTCTATCCCTCTCTCTCTCTATCCCTCTCTCTCTCTATCCCTCTCTCTCTATCCCTCTCTCTCCGCCTCTTCCCTTTCTATGTTTCTCTTTCTGTCTCTCTCCCTATTTTTCTCGCTCTCCCTGGCTGCCAGGTGCGATAAGCTTCGCACATTGTGCATGTGACGTCGCATCGCCTCCTAATTACAATGCGAGAGCACGCGACCGGTCCGGTTCTCGTTCTCGTTGTTTCTCTTCTCCTCCTCTCTTTCTTGCACTTTATGCCTCCTTTGATTTCCCACCACCCCGACCCCGAGTCTCCCTCTCTCTCTCTCCTCGCCATACCACCACGAGCTCGCTCCCGTGTTCCTATTACCAAATCCTTTTCTTGCCGCGCGACCTAAAGAAGATTCAATATTTGCACTACCGGCGTGTGGGGGCTCTCGGTAGTAGGCGCTGGGAGAAAATGGGAGAAGAGGGGGGGAGAGAAAAAGAGGAAAATGGGCGGAAAGAGATGGGCAGGGGGGGCATACCTCTGAGAAGTTGCCTCGGGACGTCTTGGAAGTCTCTGAAACCTATCCTGCTGCCGAAAGAGTCAAGGTGGGCGGACGAGGGCAGAGGAGGGAGGTGGGGTAGGCAGGCGGGGGAGGCTTATTACATTTTTATTTAGCCGATACTTTTTGGTTCCGCCAACACGATCCGCACGTCCTTACATAACCCGCGAAACCAATCAGGAATCAGGCAGCAGCCCCCCGCAACCGTCAGGGCGTATGGGCGCGAGTAACACAGCGGGAAATCTGACGAAACCCCACGCACATGAACGTAACGCGTAAACACTGTATAGCAAAAAATACTTACGTCGTCATTGAAAAAGAAAAGAAAACGAAAACGACGTCGACTTTAACTGTATTTAGGTAGAATTTTTCCACAGCAATTATGCAACAGCGAGCAGCAAGCAGGAAACGTTCGGCTAAGTGTGCCATACGACACCATGGAAAACTCGGAATAACGTATCGGCTGCCAGAGGGGCTGGGCAGACAGAGAAAGCACACAGTTTCTCCGCTACGCCATTTCGAAGCACAATCAGGATCAGGTGGGTGGATTGATGTTGCCCTTTGTTCCTCCCTGTTCTTTTGCGTCGCGTAGCAAAACACACACATTTCATTTGACTCTGGTGCGGCTTGATTGTGTGTGGGGACAGAGGGGGAGGGGGGATAACGTAAACAAGGGAGGCACTGCTTACGCCCTCGAGGGCGACGGTCTCTTGTCTCTCACTACTACCTTTATTGATAAGGCTCTAGTAAAATCTTTGGGACCGTCTAAAAAGTAAATATCACAAAGAGGCCTCTTTTCCAAGCCGTGTTATGCTGAAATACCTCACAATATCCGACATCCCTCGACTATTCCCAATGTCTGATTTTGTGTGGAGAACTCCCATAATTCGAGAAGAAACCCACAGATTTTGAGGGTTTTGCATCAAAAAATGTGGGAAACTCCCAAATTTTCTGAGGAGACTTCCTAAAAATTAAGGGTTTCCTCTCAATTGTGGGATTTCCTCAAAATATTCCATCTTTTCCTTTAAATAAAACACACATTGAATTTACTGTGTTAAAGTTATAGAAAGAAAATAAATTGGTAAATCTTGGTGGCTGCAGCGGCCAGTAAGCCATGGCCAGGCTAACCTTACTCATCCACCATCCGTTCTGCTGCAAAACGATGTTCGAACGAAATCTCATCCGGTTCCTTGCAATGGCACATCCCTTTTACCTCCGGGCGGATTCTTCTCCGTCTCCATCTCCCTCCCCCCCCCCCTCCCTCCCTCCATCTCTCCCTCCCTCCATCTCTCCCTCTCTCCCTCTCTCCCTCTCTCTCCTCCCCGTCTTCACCCCGCGCCGCGCCCGAGCGATGACTTGTCGTCGTTTCAGGGCGGCGTAAGCAGAGACTGCGCGCGCGGCTCGCGGGGCGCGGGGCGGCCGGGGAGACCACGGGCCAAAGGAAATGGCAACAGATGAAAGGGCGGGCTGGGGGCCAGCGCGGGGGGTGCGCACAACAAGGCTAACGGTTTCACGCCCTAACCTCCTCCCCCGCTTCTTTCTCTCTCTCTCTCTCTCTTTCTGCCCCCAATAAGCAGAGGATAGCCTGATCAAAAGGATTCTCTCGCCAGTCCCACGCGACGGCAGGCAGACCACGCGCCAACTTTCCGCGGTACCCCCCCCCCTCCTTTTTCACCTACCCAGCCTCCCCCTCATTGCGCGTGGGTCTGGTCCGCTTGCTCCGATAAAGATTTTAAACCGTAATTTTGAAAGAGAAACTTTAAGTTGTGCCGAGTTTGGCGCGCTTTTGGGCTCGTCCCTGCGCCACCCAGCCCGGCCAGTGTACCGCTTGGGACGAGAGAAATCGGTGCAAAAAAAGTGCAAGCAAACTAGAACATAAATACGCACACGGTGAAAAAACATGTTGTAGTGCACTGTGAAAAAAAGAAGGTAGGTTGACAGGAAAATTTTCCTTCACGCAAGTTGTAAAATTACAATTTAGAATCGTAAAATTACATGCAGTACGTATCGACTTCAAATCAATTGGCGAGTAAAAAATCTGCTCTCGTAAATTTACAACTTAAATAATAATTCGGGTTTACAAAAATATTGTAAATTTACGTCGATATTTTTCACAGTGTGATGAACTCTAGTCAGTGGGCCAAATTCACTGGCTGCTGGAATTGAGAATCTGAAAACGACAGCCAGAACTTGTGCACACTAAAATCTTATGAACATTTTAATCAAAGCTTACTGAGTTCTGTAAACATTCTCGGCTTACGCATTTTGTAATACGCCAGCATGAAGAATTGTTTTTCATACTGGCATATTTAAAAATTCCATAGGTGGCATTCGGAGCTTGTTAGCATGTTTACAGAACTCAGTAAGCCATGAATAAAAATGGCCATAAGATTTTTCGTGTGTAACTACCAACACCGGCTGTGGGCATCGGATTGTCGATTTCATTTTCACATAGCTATCGATTTTAGCCTATCAAAGAGAGTTGGCCACCAAAGTCTTTTTTCCGTGCTTAAATAATTGTACGAAAACATGTTCGAATTTGTGATTAATTATATAAAAACTTGTTCATTTTAATTTTACAATTTCTTGCACTTTACTGCATGGGCCAATCTGTGTAGGTCGAGGTAACACTACGCTCAGGAAGGCACACACACATTAGATGTGTGACCGCCCTCACCTCCCGGCCTGACGGTGTG